TCTGCATTGCCCCGGTAGATATCAAGAGAGAATTCACATGACAGCAAACACAAGCAGTTATAATTGCAAAATAATTTCAATTCAACCTCTTTCACACTTATTCATAACTTTCTGTAAGATTTTCCTTTTCTGGTCTGATCGCTTCCATGGTTGGTCTCAGTCAAAAGTGAATTGGGTTTTTTTTTTCTTTTTTGAGCTGAGTGCAGAAGATGATTATACCTTTCCCACTGTATAAAAACAGGCATTCTACTAAGTCAGTATCCTAGTCCGGGGAAGAAATGTACCACTTCCCAGAAGCGATCTGAGATGCAAGGAACAGTGAGGGAAATCTGTGTCTCCCTTTGCATCCACAGTGACAGACATATGGTATGGCTCCACCCACAATAATTTATTCACCCGACTCTCCTATTCTTTGCCTCCACCCTAGAGACCAATGTCCAAGGCTCGGATCATCACTTATGTTTTACCCTGTGTTGTTTTCAGTGGGGATTTCTATGAATTAATGTAGAGTTAGCAGGAGTGGCTATTCTGGACTCTGTCCCTGCCCTTAAGACACATGGAAATCCAACTGCACCTCAGGCAGTAGACAAAAATCTGTGGGTTCCAACACTCAGCTTTTCTGTGATGCTTCCAACTACCTGCATTGTAGCTGAACATACTTCTGATCCCTCCAGATATTGTATTCGCGGAAATGCCAAAGACAAAACAAAGCATGACATTATTTCTTTTTTTTAAACATTCTGGGAAAATTCACATGCCTCTTTCAAGCAATTGATACTCAATGCCCATGTTCCATATGGCCACTGCAATCAGTGACTCAAGGTGCCTTTAGTCTTGTTTCTCCACACGTTTAAAACTTTACCAATTTGGAATGTAAATGATACATCTTAACAACATGCCCATATGTGTTAGGTAATTAAAGCAGCACCTGAGGCCAAGAGTCTCAATAACGGGTATCTGTGGTTTAATTCTTAAAGCAAAATTTTAGTCACTAAGGCTACATCTAGACTGCAAGCCTCTTTCAAAAGAGGCTTTTTTGAAAGATACTTTCGAAAAAGCTTCTTTCGAAAAAGATCACCTAGACTACAATCAGTACTTTTGAAAAAGCAAGCTGCTTTTTTGAAAGAGAGCACCCAGGCAATCTGGATGCTCTCTTTCGAAAAAGCACAGTTTGCATTACATAGCGCCTTTTTTCGAAAGAGCACTTTCGAAAAAAGGCGTTATTCTTCGTGAAATGAGGAGTACCGCCATCGAAAGAAAAGCTGTGTTCTTTCGATTTAATTTCGAAAGAACACAGCTGTAGTCTAGATGCAGGAGAAGTTTTTTCGAAAAAAAGGCTACTTTTTTCAAAAAAAAACCTGCAGTCTAGACACAGCCAAAGTAAATATGCTGATTTTCAGATGTGCTGAGTACCCATTACATCCCACTGAATCAGCACCTCTGCAAAATGAGCCATTTATTTAGGTGTATAAACATGACTGTAAAAACGAAACTGTAAGGCAGGGGTGTCCAAACTTTTTTCAAAGAGGGCCAGATTTGATGAAGTGAACATGCGTGAGGGCCGACCATTTTGCCTGACATTCTTTGAACCATTAAAATTAAATGCAAATTAACTATTTTATGCAAAGTTTATTGCAAACGGCATACTTTTCATTTCGTCACATGGATGACAAATCTAAACAGGTGTTAAATCACTCTGCCTTTCATATCTGAAGGCCAGATGAAAAAAAAAATCCAGGAAGCTGAAATATATGTCAGGAACATTGTAAAGTACATTACATATTATTGGTAATAAAGGTTGTCTGTCAACTTTTAAGTTCAAAAAATATGAACAGGAACATAACACCAAGTATACATGTTGTGTCCAAATATATTTATAACTGATTTAGACCAACTGACTTTAACTGAGATTTTACAATGTATTCATCTCAATACATATGGATTCGTTGGGGGCCATAAAAGATAGATATTGCCAAATTACCCGGGGGAGCGGGGCTGCAGACGTGCCCTACATGGAGGACTTTAGGACCGCAGCGGCTGCCATGGACGGCGGCGGCGCAGCCGGAAGCGGCGCCAGTCAGAGGAGCGCCGGGGAGCCAGGAGAGGGGGAGGAAGCGGGGGCTGTCCCTGCACTCTCAGCCCCAAAGCGGAGTGCAGGGGCAGGGTTTGGGACCGCGGCGGCGGCGGCCCGAAGCGGCGCGCTGAGCGCGCCAGTTAAAAAAAGCACCGGGGAGCCGGGAGAAGCGGGGGGCCATATTAAATCCGACCGCGGGCCGCATTTGGCCCGCGGGCCGGACTTTGGACATGCCTGCTGTAAGGCATCCAGTGTTTAGAGTCTTGGTCTCAGTACTTACAATCTTTCCTCTGTGTTTCCTATGCTAAGTGTAGGGTTGTATAACAAATGCTGGAAATAGTGAGGTATTGTCTCTATTTATCCAACTTAAAGTTATGGAAGTTTGAAAGGCATCCACTGGAAATGGTGCAATGACTTTATATTCATTTCTTCACCCAGATAACAAAGAAGAAGCATTTGGAGTTGTTAGTTTTGTTCTTGTAGATTTCCTAGGATGTTGTTAATTTAGAAATGAAGTGCATGTCATGATGTCATTGAAAAATCATTTGACTTAGGTGTAAGAGATGGCTTTGGATTTAACCAATGACCTTAGTGTTAAAAGCTATTATCAACATCTCTACAGATACAAAACAATTTTCATTTCTGTATATTAGCTAATTATTTATTTAAAAAGAAACTTCATCAGTAAACTATTTTAATTTCTATGATGTAATCTATTGCTATTGAAAATATTCAATCCACAGATGAGGTGTTCCAGGGGATTCGTTTGTTTCTTTATTTGTTTGTTACAACAAACAAGAGAACTGAATTCAGATTACCAAAGCAAATCATTTCATCGTGGTAAAATACATATCAACACAGGGGACCTCAAGATATTATCTTCAAAACATTATCTGTGGAGACAAACTAGAATTCTTTATGGTCTCCCGCTGCTAATGCAAAATGAAAACAGAAAGAGAATGACAGCTGGAGGAGAAAAAACATACATCATACTAGAGATGTGTCAAAAACTTGTACAGCTGTATGCAAACCAGATAATTTGGCTGGATTCTTTGTGGCCACCCTCAAAAAGCAAACAATTCCAAAGTGTAGGTTTCTAAATTAAATACATTTTGTTTGTGTGTATAGTAGTGTAGTTTAGCCACTGTGTTGCTGTGTTCTTTATTGCTCTGAAATTCTTAATCCTTTCAGTGGAAATACTATTCAACAAAAAATGTGAAGTCATTTAAGAAAGAGGGCATTCAGCAAGCTGATCTTTTCTTGGTTGCTCTCTCTCTAATTAGATCTTTCTAAATTAAATAAAAGGATACAATAGTTTCACCTCTTTTTCAGGGGGGTTAACAATATGCATAAACACGAACAAATAGATCCAAATTAGGATTTCTCTGTAGCAAAAGGTACAGTCAAATAATCCATTGACAACAAATTCAGTAGCATGGAGCCATGAAACACAGGAGAAAATGAGACACGCACCTGAGCTAGAAATAGTATATTAAAACTACAAAGAAATCCAAGTGAGACTATGCATTCGTAGTTCCCAATCCTGCTCCCATGGAAGGCAATAGGAGTTTAGTTACTGATTTCAATGGAAGTAAGACCAAATCTCATGCTGTAATGCCAAAACCAGGCAGCACCTTCGGAAAGGTGTCTTTACTGTTCACCTTCCAGTGTAAAGGTGGGTAAAAGCATAGGCGCCGACTTCCCCTATAGCCTGGGGAGGGGGGTGTATTTGACCCCTGCTCCACCTCCATTCCACACCTTCCCCGCCTCTTTCCACCTCCTTCCCCAGAGCTAACCTTATTCCTGCTCCTCCACCTTCCTCCCAAAGCTTCCTGATTTCAAAACAGCCATTTGCTGCAGGTCAGAGGCGCTAGGGTTGCCAGGTGTCCGGTTTTGAACCGGACAGTCCAGTATTTGAGCTTTCTGTTCAGGAAACAAATTGAGAAAATATAAATGTCTGGTATTTTCTAAATAAGATGGAATGTAGATTGTGATGTAACGTCAAGTGTGTCTGGTATTTTTGTTGAACCCATCTGGCAACCATAGTTGGTGCTGAAGGAAGGAAGAAATGGGTGAGGCAGGCTCCAGCACCTATTGGCAAAAGACATAAAACTTCTTTACTAAATTGTTGGTTTTTAGAAAAGGATTTTATTCTTTTTACTCTTTATTTTTGGTAGCAGAAAAAAACCCCAGAAAAGATCTGAGCTGTGGTTTACCTGGCCCTACTACCCTCTCTTTGGGTCTTCTCTGTTGTTGGAAACTAATTTCACTGAGCCCTGGTCTACACAAGGGAGTTATTTCGAAATTACTCCCCTTATTTTGAAATATCAAATGGTGCAACCACGCTACCAAGCCTGTTATTTCAAAGATAAGGGACTGGTTATTTCGAAATAATAACTCCTGCTTTCCATGAGGAATAACGCAATTTCAAAATAGTTATTTCAGGAGTTATTATTTCAAAATAAGTTATTTTGAAATAATGTCCTAGTGTAGACAAGCCCTGAGGGTTTAAAAATGTACACATGCTTCCCCTCTAGGCCTGGGTTCATTTTAAATCCCTGGGGTTTCCATATATATTGTTCATAACATGTTTTTGTTTCCTCCCCATCAAGACTCAGTGCAAACAAGACATGCAGCCATTTTGACTGATCCAGCCACACACTGGAGAGTTCACAAAATTGATATGCGTTCCACATTCCCTCAGGTGAGCGATGCTGGCTCTCTCTAATGCTCTCAATTCCTCCCAGCCCAAGAAACTTTCAGAGTTTGTTCCAGCATTGCACGTTGGCTGTCTTTGGAGCAAGGCATTCAGCCAGCAAAAGGTTGTTGTTGCTTATTTTAACATTATGCCTGTGAATCGCATTGCATCTGTAGTTATTTGTTGAA